AGTGTGGCAGTGAAATCCTCCTCCCCACATCTCCTTTGCTAGTTTCTTTTGGGTAGTAGTGAGGAGCAGAATTGCTAAGACATGGGCAACGCATATCCTCAGATCTGCTCAGTATTGCCAAACAGCCTCCAAGGTGGTTATGCCTATAGATCCTCCCAACTGTGTGTGTGGAGGAAAACTTGGCTTTTTTCCCTCTGGAAGAGGGGCAGGTATTCCCACCACCCCAACCCCCCTTCTCTCTGAGGTTGACCAAGCTGAGAAGGCAGCTCCTTCAGCAGCAGGACGAGTGGGCTTCATGTTTCTTGGAATAAAAGACCCTACAATGACGCTGTTCCAAATAAGGTCACATTCTGAGGTGCTGGTGGGCATGAATGCTGGGCAGGGGGACACGAGTTATATGGGGGCATATAACTCGCTGCAAGTGGGGATATTGATCCTTATATTATGTGTGGTTAACAGCTCTCAAGGATGGAGTGAAGGCATGCAGTTGCGTGGGACAGAATAGTAACTCCATAAATAAATGGAGCAGGGGAGGTTTTGTTATAGTGCGACCCAAAGTGCCCAACACAGCGTCAATGCCTAGGAGGTGTTCTGTCCACATTTGCTAGAATGTAAGCTCCATGATGGCGGGAGTTCATTCACTCACAACTGTTTATTGGGCGGCTACTATGTGTCAGGCACATGGCTATGCGCTGGGGGTGCAGCAGCAGGTAAGACTGATGAGGTCCCCATACTCACCAAAGGATTAAGATCAAATCAATTTGTTGAGTGTATCAACAGTATGTATTGGTATTTATGTCAATAGCTTCATCCATGGCGCATGTCATGGAGAGGCCAAGCATTCAGATTCACAGCTTAGAGACAAAAGGGATCCAATTTCTAGAAACAAAGTGACATTTTATTTTTTAATAAAAGATTTATTTATTTATTAGAGAGAGAGCACAGAGGGAGAGGGAGAAGCAGACTCCCCGCTGAGCAGAGAGCCTATTGCAGGGCCAAATCCCAAGACCCCAAGGTCATGACCTGAGCCAAAGGCAGACACCCAACTGACTGAGCCACCCAGGTGCCCTCAAAGTGACATTTTCAAACAAAAAACGGGGCACCTGGGTGGTTCAGTCAGTTGAGCACCCAACTTTTGATTTCTGCTCAGGTCATGATCTCAGGGTCATGGGACTGAGACCTGCATTGGGCTCCACACTCAGCGGGGAGTCGGATTATTTCTTTTGATTAGTTTTTGATTAGTAGATCACATGTAACTTCTTCATCTCATGCCCACATTGAGTGGAGTTGTCATTGGATTCAAGTAAATTGTTTAAGGAGAGTTTACTGATACCAGCTCTGACCTGAGAGCTAAGTACCTGTGCCTTACAACTTAATCCTAAAGGCATTCTCTGGAAAGTGAAACCAGTGGGGGAGAGAAGGAATCTAGATGATGAAACAGTTGTCACACCAGGAGACACCCAGGTTGCAACTCTGGGGTGTGGCCATAGGGGATCGTGACCATATTAACGTAAAGATAGGGGGCGGCTGGCTGGCTCAGTTGGTAGAGTGTGCGACTCTTGATCTCAGGGTGGTGAGTTCAAGCCCTGCATTGGGCATGGTGATTACTTAAAAATAAATAAAATAAATAATTTAACATACAGATAGGACCTATTTAGAAAAATTCTAAAGACTTTAAGTGGGTAATACAAAGTGTAAGAATTTGACTAATAGACATTAATCCTGTACCCCTAGTGTTTTTTGTAAACTTATTTTTTAAGAACTAGACTCTTCCACTATTTTAATGTGGAATTTAATGAAGAGTTCTCATGTCCCCTTCATCCAGCTTCCCCCAATGACAATGTCTTACATAATGGTAGGTCATTACTAAAACCAGGAAATTGACATTGGTACAATCCCATTAACACCAACGACTGACTTTATTCAGCAGTATTTACAGACAGTTTTTTTTTATACACTTCTGTATTTTTTTAAAGATTTTAAGTAATCTCTATATCCAACATGGGACTCAACCTCACAACCCCAAGATCAAGAGTCGCAAGCTCTGCCAACTGAGCCAGCCAGGTGCCCCCATACGGTTCTGTATTTTATCATGTGTGTAGATTCTAATAATCACCACCACAGATGGGATAGAGAATGGTTCTGGCACCCCAAAGAAACTGCCTAGTGATGTTCCTTTATTGTTATCTCCTCCTCCAAGCCCTAACCCCTGGTGACCACTGATCTGCTCTCTGTCACTCATCACTATGTTTTGTTACTTGGAGAAAGTCATAGACATGGTATCATATAGTATGTAACCTCTTTTTTTATTAAGATTTATTTGAGAGAGAGAGCACAAGCGTGGGGGTACGGAGGGGGGTCGGGAGGAAGGGAGAGAGAGTCTTAAGCAGACCCCATGCTGAGCGTGGACCCCCCCCCTGCAAATGTGGGGTTGGATCTCATGCCCCTGAGATCATGACCTGAGCTGAAATCAAGAGTTGGACACTTAACCAACTGAGCCATCCAGGCACCCCAGTATGTAACCTTCTGAGATTGGCTGTTTTCACTCAGCATAGTACCCTTGACATTCATGTAAGTTACTTCATGTATCCCTGGTTTGTTCCTTTTTTGTTGCTGAGTAGTATTCCATGATCTGGATGTACCACAATTTGTTCATCCCTTTACCCATTGAAGCCATTTTACAAATAACTTACTTACAAATAAAGCTGCTATGAACAGCTGTGTGCATGTCTGTGAACACCAGATTCTCTTTCTCAATCAAAGTCTTGTCTTGAGGAGCACAAGGCTGGTTCAGTCAGTGGAGCATGTGACCCTTGATCTCAGATCGTGAGTTCAAGCCCCACATTAGGCATAGAGATTACTTTAAGACAAAAAAAAAACTTGTCCTGAACACTGAGATGAACAGTAAATGCAAGTGTGCTCTGGTTAAAGTGGGGTGAAGGACCCAGAACATTCCCATTTTGTCTCTCCTTTGCTCCTGCAGATGCTCAGGTTCCTAGGAACACAGTTTGGAAACCATTGTTTTTGGGAGCCTATCCTCTTAGCCATGGATAGAAGATCTTGGGTTATCAGGGCTGCAGGACATCGGCCAGCTCAGTCCTCTGTCTCTGTGTGGTGCTCAACATTGCTGCCCATAAGAATCACCCAGGAGCATTAAGAAATCCATAAGCCCAGCAACACCCCAGACTGGCCATCTAAGATGCTCTGGGGTGGGGTTCAGGTATCTAGTTTGTAAAGTCCCCAGGTAATGCTGATGTACAGCCAAATTAGAGGCCAATGCACTGAGCCATCTTCCTGATGAATGGGATTTCTGTTTCTGTTCACTAAGCAAGACCGTTCTTTATTGTATTTTGTTGCCCTGGGTTTATAGGAAGACTCAATTTACTATCATTTATGAGTATCAGTTACAGAAACTGAAATAAGTTGCATTTTTTTCTGTTGTCCCTTTTATTTTATAACAGCTTTACTGAGCCATAATTCATATACCACCCAATTCACCCATTTAAAGCATCCCTTTCATTGGTTTTTAGTATAGTCACAGAATTGTGCAACCCTCACCTCCAAAAGAATTCTGTATCCTTTAGCTATCACCCTCCCATCTCCCCCATTCCCTCCAGCCCTAAGCAGCCTCTAATCTACTTTCTCTTGGTGTTAAAAAATTAAATAAAATACCAAGACCCATAATAGGATAAAGTCCACATGGTCGTGGGAGCCTAGGGGCAGGAGTGACTGATCCAGCAGAGCAAGGAAGCCTTCCTAGAGGAGGTGGTATTTGTACTTGGCCATTTCCGCTTGTGTGTCTTTGCTCCTTCTATGCCACTAGCTTATAACAGAAGACAACAAGCGTTGGGGAGGAGGTGGAGAAGTTGGAACCCTTGTGAACTGCTGGTAGGAATGCAAAATGGTGCAGCTGCCGTGGAAAACAATATGCCAGTTCCTCAAAAAAATTAAACATAGAATTACCATTTGACCCATCAATTCCACTTCTGGGTGTATCCCCAAAAGAGTTGAAAGCAGGAACTCAAATAGATATTGGCACACTTATGTTCTTAGCAGCATTATTCACAATAGCCAAAAGGTGGGAACGACTCCAATGTCCATCGATGGATGAGTGAATAAACAAAATGTGGTATATCCATACAATGGAAGATCATACAACCTTAGAAAAGAAGGAATTCTGACACCTGCTACAACGTGAGCGAACCTTGAGGACATTACGCTGAGTGAAAGAAGCCAGACACAAAAGGACAAATACTGTGATTCCACTTACACGAGGTCCCTAGAGGAGTCGAATTCACAGAGACAGAAAGTAGATGGTGGGAGCCAGGGGCTGAAGGAGGGAACGGCGAGTTAATGTTTAATGGGGACAGAGTTTCAGCTGGGGACAATGAACAAATCCCTAGAGATGGATGGTGGTGATGGTTACACAACAGTGTGAATGTGCTTCATGCCCCTGAGCTGTGCACTTAAAAATGGTTAAAGTAGCATGTTTCGTGTATATTTTACCGCAATTAAAAAGAAAATGTAAAAAGAGGGAGAAACCAGGAGGACAGGTGTGAGCTTGTAGGGATCTTGGCGTCAGCCCAAGGCAGGAACAGCCACATGAAAGCGTTCCCACCTGCACGTTGCTCCCTGTCCACACCACCCTCTCTTGTAGGGATAATGAGAGTGATCACTTGGCAGTGGTTATCAATGAGGATTTAGCAAGTCCTTCATATAAATGTAAACCCCGTGTCTGAGACCTGGAGGTGCTTGCTAAATGGGACCTGGCATTACCATCGTTGCCACCTCTCTGAGCACAGAAAAAAGAGCCCCAACCCAGCTCTGCCTTTTCTCTGTGTGACCTCAGGCATGTGTCCAGCCTCTCTGAGCCTGGGTTCTTCCTCTGAAATGGGCAAGCTGCAAGGCAGCTGTATTAGGATGGGCTGACCGGAGAGCATGGGGACAAAGCATGCCCTTGGCACCCTGGTGACACTGGGGGACACCCCCATACCCCCCAGGAGCAGTCGAGCTGTCCCGGCGCCATCCCATGGCATCCTGGCTGTGCGCCATGCTGCACTGCTTTGGGAGTTACATCTTGGCTGATCTGCTCCTCGGCGAGCCCCTGATTGACTACTTCAGCAACAATTCCAGTGTCCTGCTGGCCACAGCTGTCTGGTAAGCACTGTCTGGCTGGTGGGATGTGGGAGAGCAGAGTTGGGGGCAGGGTGACCCAGCCACCTGGGAGGTGGGAGGCGGGGTGTTGGAGGAAATAGGACCCATCTGCACAACCTCCACAGTGGACCTGAATGCAGAGCTCTCCACTGCCCAGCTCTGTCCTGAGCCCAGCAAGCTGGGGAGGGAGATCTGGACACAACCTCACCTCCCAGGGACCCCCGACGATCTGTCTCCCCATGACGCTCTGCGTTCTCTTCCCAAAGGTACTTGATTTTCTTCTGCCCCCTGGACCTCTTTTACAAGTGTGTCTGCTTCCTGCCTGTGAAACTTATATTTGTGGCCATGAAGGAGGTAGTGAGAGTCCGAAAGATCGCTGTGGGCATCCATCATGCCCATCACCACTACCACCATGGGTGGTTCATCATGATTGCCACCGGCTGGGTCAAAGGTAAACAGGACCATGATGATGATGAAAAATCACCTCATTTGAGAACCCCTGCTCAGTGGTACATTGTCAGGCACCCAGGTTGGCACAGACATTGCTCTAGGCTAAGAGGACTGTTGTGGGAGTCCAGCCTCGTTAGCCACCAGCTTTAGAGTAAGTGGGAAGATTCTTCCAGAATTTAACTGTCAAAGATAAACAGGACCACGAGACAGTGACAGCTGTCTCTCAAGCAGGTGTTCTCAGCTGCGACACTACTGATGTTTGGTGCCAGGTCATCCTCCGTGGCGGGTGCTGTCCTGTGCTTGGTAACATGTTGAGCAGCATCCCTGGCCTCCTCCCACCAGATATCAGTAGCGCCCACCTGTGTGACAACCAGAACTGTCTTCAGATGTTGCCAAACACCTCCTGGCGAAGAAATCACACCCCTATAAGTACAGGGGTTCTCAATCTTTGTGGGCCATGGTCCTTTTTGAGTCCAGTAAAGCCTTTTATGTTTTTAAGTGCATAAAATATATAGGATGATAAAAGAGGCCCATTATTTTAAAATAGCAAAAAAAATTTTTAATAAAAGTTATCCAAAAAAGTTTTAGTATAATAGAGTAATTTTATACATCTTTACCAAAGTATTAAATAAGAGACCATTCACTTAGCAAATAGGTATTTCTCGACCTTTTGAAGTGTTGTTGAGCGCAAATGATACTATGAAACCCCTCATCTGCAACAATGGGAATGTGAAAAGGGAAAAATCCATGAATGTTGTTGGTGATGGAATCACAGCCTTGCAAATCCTTCTCAGCTTACTGCCTCCCTTCACAATGGAAGGAAAGGCTATATTTCGGTGAGGGACATGAAAATGAAGACATAGTTCTGTTTCCGGTCTGGGTTCAAGGACACCAGGTTAAGACTTTATGACTCAGGGCAGGTTTGAGTTGAGGCCTTTGTGCATCTTATCTCCTTTGATTCTTAAGACTCTTCTTTAGGAAAAGTCTAACATCATCCCAGTTTACTGAGGAGGGAAATGAAATTACTTGCTCAAGGTCACATAGCTAAGGGGGTGCAGCTAGGTTTGACTCCAGGTCCTCTGATTTCAACATCCACGTTCTTAACTACTTTGAAGTCCTCCTTTTCCTTCTCCTCTAGCTACGCTAAGAGGCAGACCAAGATAGACTTTAAAACAAGAAATGTTACTAAAAATTAAAGAGGGACACTTTAGAATGATGGGTCAATCCACTAGGACGATATAACAATTATAAACATATATGCACCTAAAAACAGCACCAAAATATATAAAGCAAAAACTGAGAAGTTAAAGGAGAAATAGACAATTCAACAATAATAGTTGTAGAGGTGGACCAAGGAGTAACAGGAAGACAGGGAAAGAAGGCTCGAGCAGGTGCTAACACCGTTGGGCACCTTATCCCTGCTCCCTGATACCAAAGTGAGTATTGCCAAAATGCCAGGGCCTAGAAGCACGCTCCACTGAGCCACAGTGTACTCAGCACCATTGACACATGGGGCTGGATCATGCTCTGACAGACTCTGGAGACTGTCTTGTGCATTGTAGGATGTTGAGCAGCATTCCTGGCCTTAACGCACCAGGAGCAGCCCTGCCCCAGTTACAACAACCAAAAATGTCTCCAGATATTGCCAAATGCCTATTTGGGGGCAAAATCACTCCAGATATGAATCCCTGGGCCAGTGGTACATATCAGACACCTCAGCACAGCCATTCCTGGAGTGGGTGTTCAAGCTTCTTTAGCCAATACATTTGGGATAAATGGGAAAATTCTTCTAGAACTTAAACCATTATGTCCCATATGGGTCTCCTTATTCACTCTCCAGGAAGCCTGTGCTATAGAACAAATTCCCCAGGGGGATAGCATGCTTTCCAGAGGGCAAGTGGCTTAAGAAAGATTGAAAGTTCAGAGCCCTGAGGAGGAGAGAGACTGGGATGGGGAGCCTTCTAGAAGCCTTATGCACAGCTCAGGGTCCTGGACTAGGGGCATCAGGGCAGACAACCCAGATTTGTTGAAGACATGCCTTGCAGATGAGATACGACCTCAATGCCTTCATGCTGGTTTTGCTCCAAATATTGCCATGTGACCCTCCTGAGCCTCAGTTTCCCTACTGCAACTGATTGTCATACGCCCAGGCTCAGTGTCCCTCTGGAGAAGACTCTAGGAGCAGCGAAGCTGCTTCCTTGGGAACTCAGCCAAGAAGAGTGGGGAACTGGAGGTGGCAGGTTCATTCAGGAGCACTCTGTCTCCTAGGCTCTGGCGTCGCCCTCATGTCCAACGTTGAGCAGCTGCTCCGAGGGGTCTGGAAGCCAGAGACCAATGAGATCCTGCACATGTCCTTGTGAGTATCCCATTCCACCTCCCCGCTCCCATCCCTACTGTATGTACGGGTGCCTCCTGGGCCTGACCCTGGGTTGGATGCTCCTGGTAACTTGGAAGCCTCAGCCACTAATTTCGTCTTCCAGAAGCTTCCAGAGGTCATGGAGCATCCATGGAGCAGAAGGGGAGCCATGGCTCTGCCTGGGGGGGAGGGGCAGGCAGAGCTGCAGGGAGATGAGCTACTTGATTTGGGTTTTGAAGAGTGAGTAGGAGTTTTCTGGCAAAGGAGGAGCCTCCGGACAGAGGCCAGCACCTCTGCCAACTGTCAAGTCAGAAAAGAGCAGTGATTCTGCCCAGTTCTGCAGGGTCAGGATATAGAGTGGTGGGGAGGAGTACAGAGCATTGGTGGGCAGTATATGGCACGGTGTGTGGGTGGGTACAGAGTGTGGGTGGGGAGTGTGGCTGGGACCAGGTGGGCAGGACCACAGGGCAGCATCCAGCATCCAGGACGCAACCTAGGGGCCCCATGCTACATTTAGCCTATGCATTTTTAAAGGACCTCATTGGTTTGGGCTAGTTAAATTTTCTCCCAATCTACAATAAAGAAAGTGATGGCCATTAAAATATGACAAAATTTTTTAAAAGACTCACCCATACGCCAATGAAAATTCCCATTTCACACTTCGGAAAAGAGCATTATCTCATTTCATCCCTACTAGAGGTCTGTTCCCACCCTCAGTTCACCGACAAGGAAACGGGGACCCAGAATGTTGTGTTGCCTGCTACTAAGTGGGCAAGTGGTTTCCCCTCTTGGATTCTATTTCGGCCTCTTGAGCAGTGGGTGAGGGCTCCATGGAATCACACTCATGAACTCCCTGGCCCTGGTACCTGGTGAGTGCCTTGGAAATATCAGGCAGGATCATCATCATTAAGGACAGCAGTGAACAACAGACATCAGGAACAGAAGTCACGGGTCTCTCTTCCGTAACAAGTTAAAATATTGAGAACCTATCCAGTAAGAAAGAAAAGGAAAGTTACGAAAAAGAACAGGCGGTAGCTGACCGCCTACATGCCTGACCTGTCTCCAGTCCCTCCAGAGGTTGAACTGATACCACGTGGCCCAAGACCCCACTTTAAATCATCATTCCTAACTGGTATGACCCAAAGTCCCCAAGTGAACAAAGACACTCCTATCAGGCAGGACATTTCCAGGGCTTAAAGGATACCTTCAGGAGCCAGGGGGGAAAGCCACACCTCTCTTTGGGCCAAGTTAACCCTTTACTGTGCAGGGAAACCCCACCTTATCTATGCCATGCAGGCATCTTCCCACCTCCCACTCAGGAGAAGCTGGAATAGGAGCTGGGGCCAGCAGTGGGCAGGTGGAGAAGGGGGTCTGGGCCAGAGGGAAAAAGGCCTGAGCTACGTGGCACCGCGCAGTAATAGAGGCTGCCCCCTCCAGCCCCACGAAGGCCAGCCTGTACGGAGCCATACTCTTCACCCTCCAGCAGACACGCTGGCTCCCAGTATCCAAAGCCAGCCTCATCTTCATCTTCACTATGTTCATGGTCTCCTTTAAGGTAAGTCTTCCTGCCCTGACCCACACCACCAACCCACACCTTCCGGCTGGGAGCTTGGATTTGCAGTCTTGTGTCCCAGGAAGGACAGCCCTAAGGCAGGAGCCTGGGGAAGGGGGTCCCAGTAGGTCTGTGCATGGGAGGAAGGTCTGATAAGAGGAGTGTCCAGCCAGTGGGGACAGGGTAAGGAGAATATGGCCTTCTGGGCGGAGGGCTGAGCCTGGGCAAAGGCCGAGAGTGAGGCAGGAGTGCATGGAGTCTGTTTAGAGAATTGAGGCCTCGTGCCTTGGTGGTGGAGAGCTGAGGGACAAGACCCGGGAAGGCACACTCAGGACACCCAGGGACTCAGGCTAGATCAGGAATGGTGCTGGTCTGATCCTGAGGCCTTGAGCTGGGGTTAGCTCACCCAGGAGGGGTCTTCAGGGACCACACTGTCCTCCTCATGGATCTGGGGAGCTCTGCTGCTGGCTCCCTGGGAGGGGACCCATTGGCCACTGAAAGGGGGAAGGGAATGAGCTGCCTCAGGCCAAGCACTGTTCCTCTCTGAGCCCAGGTGTTGGGGGGCCCCTGAGGTGAGGGGGGAGATCAACTGTCCCCATGTGCCCCATGCTATCTGGAGTTTCAGCACCAGAAGTCCTGTATCTCAGGAAACCTAGGACAGTTGGTCACCCTCCTGGGGGTGCATAAAGCCAGAGGGATGGGCCTGTGCTACCTCTGACCTTGACCTGGCTGACTTTCTCTCCCCTCTTCCCTCCCCCCACCCCCCCTCCATCTCTCTCGCTGTCTCCCTGTCCCTCTGTTACCCCACCTCAGGTGTTCCTGACGGCCACTCACTCCCACAGCTCCCCTTTTGATGTTCTGGAGGGCTACATCTGCCCTGTGCTGTTTGGGACCGCCCCCGGGGGCAACCATCACCACGACAACCATGGTGGGTCCCATGGCGGGTCCTATGGCGGTGGTGGGCCCGGCTCCCCACACTCAGCCCTGCCAGCTAAGTCCAAGGAGGAGCTGAGTGAGGGCTCCAGGAAGAAGAAGACCAAGAAGGCAGATTAGTGGATGGCCCAGAGGCCTTGAGGGGTACCAGGGAGAGGACCCGGACCCAGGACCCTCAGAGCCGGTGCGGGGGCATCCCGGGCTCAGCTCTTCCCTCTCCGGGCCTCAACTTCCCAGTCTGCAAACTGGGGCCATGTCGGGGGGGGTTAAATGAGATATGGGGGTGAGGGGCATTTGTAGGAATGGAGGGGTCCCTCTCTCTTTCTGCCAGGCCACCATAGCAACACCGCTTTATTTGGGCGGTGGCCCCAGCCAGAAACCCTAGCAGTTATATTTTTGGTTCCACTATTTCCTCTCTAAAATTACATCTTGACTCTGAAAAGAATTTCAGGTTGAGACTCATGAATTTGATGGACAATTCCTAAATGTCTGCTATGAGGCAGCTGCTGGGACTTCCATCTCTTCGTGCCCACTCCTTCCGGACGGCACTGGGCAAGCTACTTCCTTTGAGCCTTGCATTCCCCGTCTGTATAGTGGAGACCCCCAGGCCTCCTCCACATGGAGGTGCTGGTGCGTGTCTGGATGTGAACCAGCTTTATAAACTCTTAAGCACCGTGCAGTCGGGAGGGGAGGCCATGACGGATGTTCATTGTGCTTGAGAACGGCTTTGCATTTTAGATTATTTGTGTTTGTGGGTCGGAGAACCCCCACAAGTTAACCTGGCCCACGGGGCCTTCAGTAGACATATCTGGGCCAGTCTTGAGAGCTTGGGGAGTAGGGAAGGCTTGTTCTGATCTTTGGCTTCAGGCCGCCCCTAAACCAAAGAAATGCAGCTGGCTGGGCAGGGGTGCCAAGATCCAGCTCTGTCAAGGGCCTCCAAACGAGCTTCAGGGTGAGTGAGGGGAATGGTAGCTGAGCCCCCATCTACCCGCCCCCCCCCCACCGCCACCAGCCACCTGATTCATCTCAGCCTGTGTTACCAGGACATCTGAGTGTGGCCAGTCTCAGGTGGGGTCTGGGCCCAGATGGGGCCGGCTTAGACCTGTCCTCTGCCCACCCCGGCGGGGGGGGAATGCGGGACAGAGCAGCAGCCTACAGATGCATTAAGATCAGCATGGGGCCAGTGGGATCCCAGGTATTGCCCAGCTGTTGGGAAAGTGCCTTGATCTGGTGACACCTGGGAGCCTGGTGGGTCCTGAGGCTCCGAATTCATCCTCTTGCATGTTTATCAAGACTCGGCATGAAGGTTCAGCAAATAAATCTGTTGTGAAAGAAGCACAATGGCTTAGCTGATTCATTCCTGCTCTTTCAGCCTCAGGATGCAGTGGGGTTCTGTGTCCTTAGAGACACTCAGAGTTTCCAGGGAGATGAGGTTCATGGCAGCCCCCAATTGCCAAGAGGAGATGAAGCCTGCGGGTAGAGTCTGGAGTTTGGAGTTCAGATATTTACTGTGCCACCAACAGGTCATGGGGCCTCCCCTTCTCCAAGCCTGTTTGCTTCTTGGGGAATAGGGCATAATGATTATCACTGCCCTTTATAGACAGATGGGAGAATTAAGGGAGTGATTGGGGTTTGCAGCTAAGAGTCCGTACAGGACCCTGTTAAGAGAACAACTTGGCAGTCACACATCTGATAAAGGGATTGTATCCAGAATATATAAAGAAGTCCCAAAGCTCAATAATAAACAGCCCAATTAAAAATGAACAAAGGATTTGAATGGACACCTGGCCATAGAGAATATACAGATAGCATTTTAAAAAGCACATGAAAAGATGCTCAACATCCTTAGCCATCAGGGAAATGGGTGGGAAGGTACCCACTACACTCTCTAGGATGGTTGCTGATGAGTGCTGGTGAGGATGTGGAGCAAGGGGAACTCTCTTCATTCCATGGGCAATATAAAATGATGTAGCTGCTTTGGAAGACAGTGGCAATTTCTTAAAAGATTAAATGTTCAGGGTTCCTGGGTGCCTCAGTCGGTTAAGCGTCTGCCTTCGGCTTGGATCATGACCCCAGGGTTCTGGGATCGGGCTCTCTGCTCAGCAGTAGCCTGCTTCTCCGTCTCCCAGCCGTTCCCCCTGCTTGTACTCTCTCTCTGTCAAATAAATACAAATTTTTTAAAAAAATTAAATGTTCATTTATCATATGACCTAGCTATTCGGGTACTTGCCCGAGAGCACTGAAAATACGTGTCCATGCAAAGACACGTACATCGATGTGCATAGGTGCTTTGTTATAGCCCCAAAGTGGAAAGAACAAATGTCCATCAAAAGGTGAGGGGATAGATAACTGCTCCATCCAGTGGAATTGTGCTCAGCGATTCCATCAGCAAAAGGAATCAGCATGGGACAACATGAGCGAGCTTCAAATACATTGCAATGGGTGGGGGAAACTATAAAGAAGAATACGAGCCCATGTATGTAACATACTGGAAAAAGCAAATTAATTTATAGTAACAGGCTGATCAATGGATGCTTGGGGAGAGGGGGAGGGTGGGAGGGATGGCGAAGAAGCGCACAGAAACTGGGTGATGGAAATCTTAACTATCCTGACTACAGCGGTGGTTTCACGGGTCTATATGCACATCACAACTTACCAAATTATATACTTTAAATGTGCTCAGTTTAGGAGCACCTGGCTGGCTCAGTCGGTAGAGCACACAACTAGTAATCTCAGGGTTGTGAGTTCAAGCTCCACGCTGGGCATGGAGTCTACTTTAAAAAAAAAAAGTGCAGTTTATGGTATGTCAATTATATCTCAATAAAGATGTAAAAAAATGTTCACTTAAAAAACTCCATAAAAATTGGGCAAAAGATTTGAACAGACAGGGGTGCCTGGGTGGCTCAGTGAGTTAAGTGTCTTCCTTCCACTCAGTTTATGATCCTGGAGTCCTGGGATTGAGTACTGAGTGGGAGCTCTCTGCTCAGTGGGGAGCCTGCTGTTCCCTCTTCCTCTGCCCCTCCCCCTGCTCATGCTCTCTCTCTCTCTCTCTCTCTCTCTCTCTCTTTGTCAAATAAATAAAAATCTTTTTTAGAAAAGATTTGAACAGATCACGAAATAAACACACATGAAAACTGAAACAAAATGCTGCTGCATGTCTGTTAGGGGCTGAATTGTGCTCTCCCCCCAAATCCATAGGTTGAAGTCCCAATCCCCAATACCTCAGAAGGTAATCATATTTGGAGACAGGGTCTTTAAAGAGGTGATTAAGTGAAAATGAGCTCTTTGGGTGGGTCCTACTGCTGTCTGACTGGGGTCCCTGTAAGAAGAGATTAGAGGGGCACCTGGGTGGCTCAGTTGGTTAAGCGTCTGCCTTCCGTTCACGTCAGGATCGCAGTGTCCTGGAATCGAGCCCTGGTACAGGGCTCCCTGCTCAGTGGGGAGCCTGCTTCTCCCTCTGCCTGCCTGCGCGCGTGCTCTCTCTCTCTCTCAAATAGATAAAATCTGTAGAAAAAAAAAAGAGAGAGAGATTGGGATGGGACACAGACATGAGCAAAGACCCTCTGAGGACCCAGGGAAAAGATGACCATGTACAAGCAAAGGAGAGGCCTCAGAAGAAAACTCTTGTGCCGCCAAGCCCTTTGTCTTGGACTCCTGGGTGCCAGAACTGTAAGAAAATAAATTTCTGGGGGCGCCTGGGTGGCTCAGCCGGTAAGCGCCTTCAGCTCAGGTCATGGTCCCAGGGTCCTGGAATCGAGCCCCACATCGGGCTCCCTGCTCAGCGGGAAGCCTGCTTCTTCCTCTCCCACTCCCCCTGCTTGTGTTCCCACTCTCGCTGTCTCTCTCTCTCTCTCTGTCAGATAAATAAATAAAATCTTAAAAAGAAAAGAAAAGAAATTTCTGGAAAAAAAAAAAGCCGCTCCGTCTGTCCTTACGGCTGCCATGGCAAGTTAATAGGATCCTGCCTCAAATGTTTAAAATAATAGCTCAGGATGCCAGGGGCTGGTAAGGACTCCGCTCACCCAGTGCTGGTAAGAAAACAGGCGGCGGGTGTCTCGCGAAATGAAACACCGTTTTCCGTATAACGCAGCAATCCCATTCCTAAGTGAAACACAGACTCATGGTCAGAGCCGCTGTTTTGGGGAATCACCAAAAAAAAAAAAAACAAAAAAAAAAAACGGAGGCATCCCAAGTGTCTGGCAGCAGGTGAGTGCACGAAGCCCGCGGGCGGTTTGGGGGCGGCGGCCGAATCGTACCCAGCCGCGAAAAGGCGCGAGCTGCTGATTCGCACAGCACGGCGCATGCGTCTCAGAGGCCTTTGCCCCGCGAAGGCGGCCAGACTCCGACGACGCGCCCTGTGCGCTCCTTAGAGGCTAATTTAGGAAAAACAAAATCGTTGGGACAGAAAACACACCCGAGGTTGCCAGGGCCGGGGGAGTGGGAGGAGAGACTGCTTCCAAAGCGGCCAGGAGGGGGGCGGGGGTAGAACGGTTCTGTCTCTTGATTGTGGTGGGGAATCCACCACTGTGTGTCTTTGTCAAAACTTCCAGAAATGGATGCTGAGAATGTCAGCTTCATCTAACCAGGAGAGGAAAAGCAGAATAGGCTGCCAAGCTTCTCGGACCTGATCACATCCTGGCTTTTCGCCTGCGAGGTGCGTGGCGTTGGGGCAGTAACTCCCCTTCTCTGAGCCTCAGTTTCCTCTCAGGAGGACTAGCAGAAGTGTCTGGAGCCGGATTCCAAAGGCCAGCTCTGTAACTCCCCGGAGCACTTCTGCTGGGGCTCATCTAGCACCTGGTGGGTGTGGGTGATAAGCCGGCTCTGCGCCCGGGAGCACCGAAGGAGGTTCTGGGATCTCATTTTATGAGAGAACAGGTTGTACCAAAATAGCCTCCCAGCCTGTTTTGGGAAGGGGGTGGGTAGGCCACCGTCTGGCTGGGGGGTTGATTGGCGGGGCAGGCTAACCCTGTCGCCCCTGTAGGTGTAAGAACTGTGAAGACCAGGCTCTCAAGTCCAGCCTATTTATAGCTGCAGGAGTCACGCTCAGTAGCTTCCTCCGTCTTGGGTTGAAAGAAATGTTCTTTTGTCTTCCTCCTCATCATTATTACTATAATTATGGTAAAATACACAACATAAAATTTTCCGTCTTAACCATTTTTTATGCATGTTTCAGTGGCATTAAGTAAAGTTGCACTGTTGTACGACCATGCAGCACCACCACCATCCATCTCCAGAACTTTCTCATCTTCCCACACTGAAACTCTGTCCCCATTGAACACTAACTCCCCACTCCCTCCACCTAGCCCCCTGCCATTCTATTTTCTCTCTATGGATTTGACTATTCTCGGTGCCTCATGTAAGTGGGGTCATACAGTATTTGTCCTTTTGTGACTGGCTTATTTCCACTCAGCATAATGCCTTCCAGGTTCATCCTTGTTGTAGCCT